TTCTAAGGGAGCCGAGCCAAAAGAGCCGAATCTTTGAAAAGAGCCAGACTTCCCATCACTAATGATTACGTATGTTTGGGCCGAGAGGCATAATAAAAACATGCATTTTTTAACACATTTTTTTGTTAATTGATTGTACTAATGGATTTTTTGCTTACCCAGCCTCCTCTCCTCTTTAACCACGACACAAGGCTCTTGCGAACAAACTCGCCCATGCAGTCGACAATGGTGTGCACCATTGCTGGATGGCCGTGCCGAACACAGTCCACAGCTAGAGCTCCGGCCACAGCATACAGAGACACAATCTTCCCCCATGTTACACCTGTAGAGAGACAAAAATGGACACAGATATAATCCAACTGAAAGTCTGTCCTTGTCCACGGATATTTCTTTATAACATTTAAAATACTACATTGCAAGATCATGTACTGTTAAATCTCTCGTGTTGCCTGTTTTAACCAATTGAAATATTGTTTGACAGACAAAGAGGTAAAGTGTCCTAGCTAATGCAGCAGAGCCGAGAACTGCATAATAAGCATAATCAAATCACTTATTTCCACTGACAGCATATACTGTACACTGTCACTACTGTATGTGTGTGTACAGGTGGAAGCGTGTATGAAAATCATAACCAGGTGAGTCATCAAAATACCTGATAATCCCTCACCCATTGTTATATAACTGCCAGGCAAGCTGTCAGCTAGTGTGTCAGCCAGTAAGACACACGCAGAAGAAAAAATATATATATTAAAAAAAATATATTTTCAAATTCATGTTTGACATGTGACTATAATCTCAATATACAGTATATCAACATGCCTTCAAAGTGGTGAGATGTGGCTGTAACATATTCAATGCATTTAAGTGCATAATGATATCAATAGTATGTCCCCCATCATAAATGCATTAGGGTCATGAGTCTGAATTTGATGAAAAAGCTCTCTGTACTATTATGTTTCATTAAACAAGTGGGCATCCTGATTTATTAGAGCTAATGTGATAAACAGACTCCTAAATACACAACTCTAACTTTTAAGATTTTTAGCTTGGAATTAAAGC